CCTAATGATGATGCATTCGCAGAAATTTTTGCATATTTTCAATAAAATAAAAAAAACCAATGGATTTGAAATCAGTTAATGACCTTTTTCGCTACTAAAAACACACACACTCATCTCAACGCATCATCATCTAACATTCCAACACATTTCGCATTCGATTTTACGATTGGTTTGCCAAAAACATTTCATTTTTTTACGATTCTACCTCGACCCAACCGATGTGGATGTGATTGCAAGAATCATTCACCAACAACAACAGTCATAACAAGACAAAATAGCCACCGCCACAACGGATTTCTTTTGACTCATCGCACCCATACGCTCGCTCTCTCTCTCTCCCAAACACAGATGCAAGATCAAGGGAATAATGCAACTGCATACAACATAATTATCCGTCAAAACACAGCAAGAAATCCGAAAATGATTTTTCTGTTGAGTTTGTTTTTTTCTTCTCCCGATACGAGAGAGAGAGAGAGAGAGAGAGAGAGAGAGAGAGAGAGAGAGAGTGAGATTTTCGTTCATTTTCAATTTGTTCGCATCGTTTGCTTTTGTGTATCATTGTTGGTGTTACATTGCACAAATTTGTATTCCGAGTTTTTGGTGATATGTGCATGATTCGAGAAATACAAAAGGACTACCATATAGAAATAGATGTGAATCTTCAATGAGAGTGAGAGATAAAAGGCGCTTTGATTTCACAAAGCGCGCATCCCTTCAAATAAATCTAGTTCACATATGCTTGTTCATTGAACAGTTCGGTTTTGGGTTCGTTCACTATACGCTATTAATCTGTTACTCGGCTTCTTATTCTCCATTCCCTTGACTCTACACCGAATTCTTTTAATCTATTCCTCTCGATATATGTGTTTTTTTTGCCTCTTGTCGATTATTCCCTTTGTAACATGTTCTTTTTTTTATTGAGATCAGCTACTTTTTTTTCCGTTTATTACGTTCTCTCTCGCACTCGGCTCACTCACTCTCAAATGTATCATTTATGATTTTTATCTTTCAAATCCATTTTTTTTCGTCATGTTCATCAATTGAATGGCAACACTGAACTGATGAATGATTGATGAAAACATCGAAATGAGTCCGTTTTTTTCTCTCTTCATCTTCACTGCTTGAAATCTATTAAAATCAAAAACTATCAATAGATTTACGATTCAAAATCATGAAAATAGATCGGTATCGATGAACGGTGAGTGGGTACTCACAGTGTCTGTTTCGCGCCGATAAAGAAATAATTACTGACGATGAACTCACCACGAGCGCGCGAGCGTTTTGCGTTTTATTTATGAAGTTGAGGTTTGGTTTTTTTTTCTTTTCATTGATCATTGACGCACGTTTCATTGGTTTTTCGGTGCGTTTTTTTCCTCTTGTGTGAGTGTTCACCATCTTAGGAAAACCGCTGGAAACTCGTTCCATGTGTGATGATGCATGGCTAATCGAACCAAAGTAAGACGCGGTGGCGCCTCTTTGAATACACTCTCATACCGATTGAGTTTTTCGTTTATTTTATTAATTACTTTTTGATTGTGCCGATTCAAATGACTTTGTTTGTTATTACAATAACAACAAGCCGGCAGACCATTTTCAATACCGAAACCACGCGTCGCACGTGTGAACCTTAACATGTTTGGTTCATTGTCTATAAAAAAAAAATGTTGAAATTTTCTTCGTGTGAGACAATCAGCGAGTTTTTATGGGCGAAAAAAATGTTGTAAATAAAACGGTTTTATTGAAAAAATGTCGTCTCAACCGCCGTCGTCGTCGTCGTCGCCGTTGTCATACGAACATCGGAATTGACGTGATTAAGCAATTCATATCGTCGAAATGATGTCAGTTTCGTGGTAAATTGCTGAAAATAGAGAAAAATTACACGTGTGTAAAACCAAATAGAAGCGTTTATTGTAAGCGTTGCTCGTACGCGACGAACACAAAAATTTCTCGAACGCTCGAATCAAATGCAGATTGTTTTGCGTTTTGTAGAAATATCTCTAATTTTTGTCGTGTTCACTTTGAGTCGCATGATAAGGGGGAGCTGCTACTGTATTGTTTTTTCTTCTGTATGTGTGTGGGTATTGTTGTTATTTTCTCTCGTTATGCGATGCTCAATGTTTACACAAATGACTAAATTGAAATGCTGCTACTATCTCTGCTGAATACAGTAGCTCCTATTATTTATTTAGTATTTGCTTTTTACCGTTTTAAATCTGGCCTTAAATTATATCTTTATTTGAATTGAAACAACAACAAATTACGACATTCCAACCGCTCAGTATCACAAAGCAAACACAATTCACGGACGTTGATAAAAAAAACGCATGTACAAAACTCGCGTCACTGGCAAATACGATCAAGTTTTATTCTTTTTCCTATTTTTCTTTTCTTTTGTTGAATGGAACAACAAAAACCAGAATCAAAATCATTATTTTGAAAAATTCATTTTAGTTACGCCAACAAATGATCCAAATGTTGTTTGGAACGGATTCTTTTGTTCGTTCCATGTCTGGTTTGACAAAGTCATCTGTTAGTCGACTTCAAATATGAGCAATGAGCATTCCATTTGGGTTGCATTGCGATCACATTTCGATTGTAACTACAAATGAGCGAATGAACTTTGGAAAATGCAGAAACGGCACAGCACAACTACTGATTGTGTCTCATTACGGTGTATTTTAGATAAAACTGCGATTTCACTGCTCGCGCCCGCTTTTCACTCCGTTCTAATAGGGCGCCTGAAATCAGAAACAATAAAATTGCATTTCGAATTTATGAATGGGAGTCTCGAGTTTCACTTTATCTACAAATGCACGAAATTCGGCGGTATGTGAGGCCCTTGTTTTGAGCATCTGTTCGGATTCACATTTCTCCTCTCTCTCTCTCTCTCTCTCTCTCTCTCTCTCTCTCTCTCTCTCTCTTTTACTTTCTCTCCAAAGAGCACTTGCACTGCAGAACATTTGATTTATCTTTCGATCTACTTCAATTAGAAGTCAAATTAAAGAGTTACTCCTATTGCAAAGTGTATGCTTTAATTTCAATTTCAACAAAACAACCGAAAAAAACGCATTTTATTTCCGACAGCAACGACGACGACGACGGTTTCAAATTTAAATATAAACCGAGGGATCGTAAATTTATTGAATATAAACACAGTGACGAGAGAGAGAGGGAGAATGTGAACGGGATTTCGTGTTCAAATGCATTAAAACGGGCGTCGTAGTCCACCAGCTGAAGAAAAGCGAACGAGAGAAAAAAAAAAGCGACAAGCGCACCTAATAAAATAAATCAAATACATTTCAGCAAATGTGCAAATCAATGTTCATGTTGTTTAAATTCTCATTTGATTTGCGAATGAAACGGCAGTTAAACACAGAAAATAAACCAAAACTCGGCACACAGAGAGCGAAAGTGGTTTTTCAGACTATGAATTTTCTTACGTGTTTTGTTGTTTTTGTTGATTTTTTTTCGTACAAATTTGATTTATGTTTATATAATGGACACCGTGTGTGTGTGCCCACCAACAGATTTGCAGCGCCTTTCTTTTCAACACCGAACGCCAACTCTCTGATTATTATCCCAATATGTGTGTATTTTCAATCGCTCGCGCGCTCGTCAATTTATTCATTAGAATTGCTCTCTCATGCGAGGCACAGAGATAACAAAACGAAACGAAACGCGACGTAAATTACATAAAATTTGTTTATGTGTCGCACCGGGTTTCATTCGTTCGTTATTTTTATTGACTCCGTTCAATTACATTTCGACGGCCAATTTGAATGAATGAATGCACCGACTTTGGTGGTGGCATTCATACTAAAAAGACATTGAGCACTTGACAAAACACATGCTTTACCCACATCGATGCTACGCCATTATTATGTAAAAATAACACGATTTGCATCACCGATTTATCTCGTGTCTTGAAATAATCATTTTATTCAATTGAGTCACATTGTTTAAACGAACCGCTTGATTAATTACAATAGATTTTATGACTTTGTCTCGGATTTTAAAGTCCAAATGTTTGTCTCTAACGATTTTGGGCGGCAGAATCATGGCAAAAACGTTGATGTCTGACCGTTGAAAATATCAATATTCAATTAAATGAAAGCTAAGATGAAAACGAAGGTATGATGAAAGCAAAGCCTTTCAAATATCTAAAAAAAAATTTTTCCTTTCAAACAGTCCAAGTTCATTCATTTTCCTTATTTCACTCATTCCACAGGAATACAACAAATCATTTGATTGAATCATCATTTGAATTGAGTCTTATCCGAGCAAAATCTCTACAAAACTGAATCGAAACCGCAAACATGCTGGCAGTCGTTTCGATTGAGTTGCCATCTCTTACTTCTCATTTTCAATTTGACATGTGCCTAAAAATAATTAAGAGCGAAAAAAATCGCAAAAATTTTCGCAACAGTTGCAGTTCATTCTCATTTCAAATTCAGAAATGACCAGCAATTAAAATGTGGCAAAATGCAATTAAAATATGCCATTTGGCCACTGGCTTTGGTCAATTCTTCTTGTAATTCGTACGCATCAGTATTTATTACCATATGTGTCTTGGTTTTTTTGTCGTCGTCCTATTCAAATGGAACAGTTATTCCAATACGGCGCTCATTTTGAGTTGTGTTACGAATGGAATGCGATAAAAAAGTTGTGATACAAAATGAATGGTTTTGGCATCATTTTATGTGCAATGCAAATGACAGACCGAAACAAATCAATCAGCAGATCAGAATAAAAGAAAGGATTTCAACATCTGGTTAACATATTTATATTCAATTGAATGATGAATTAAGAAATTGAAAAAAAAATTATCGGAATAATTGTTGCACACAGACATCGAGCTGCGAAAGTTTACACAAAGAGAAATATTATTATTATTTTTGGACAAAAAAATGATTCAGACAGCAGAAATTTTATACAAATTGGTTTTTATACGAATGTTTCATCACCCCAATACTTTGTTTCTTGTTTTTTCCTTTTTATAGTTCAAGACCGGGCCGGCCACCGAAACGAGGACCTGTCGGATTAATACCTTCCAGCCATTTATCGCATCATCCACAGATGAAAAAACATCGATTGGATAACGGTGACTATCCGTATGAAAATGGACATATGAATGGTGAGTGTTACACGATACAATGTTGTGTGAGTGTGTGTGTGTTGGGCTCTCGCCTTAATGGTTGTCGCACACCGTGGCACGAATGCGCGCGCTGCCCATTTAATTGATTCAATCTAATTTTCGTGGAAATATGTGATTTACTGTTAGGTCAAATCGTTTAAACCAACTCGCCAATATATATTTACTCTTCGATATCGGCGCGAATTTCACTAATTATCGGACGGAAATTTAATGATTGTGATTATAGGAACAAAACAAAATCGTTCTTTTCAAACAGGAATTTAAAAAAAAGCAGTTGAACTATGGGTCAAATCGTTTATTTTCTTCTTCTTTTTATCCATATCGAAATGAATTTATTCGCATTTTTTTCCCGTTCAATAATAATACGAATCAAATGAATATCGCACGTCTCTATTCGCGCATCAGTCCGAATTCCATTGGTAAAAGTATTTAGCATTGGAATTTAATCGCGATACTATTGATTATGGCATTGCAAGCAGCGCGCATCACTTTCGATAAACCGATCATTTTCAAGGCATTGCAAAGCATTCTACAATGCAAAGAATGATCAGGAAAAAAATTCTGCTATCGCGAATAGTCTGTTAAATGCGAAAATAACCAATTTCATATATATTTATACTTAAATTGGTGTGGTGAGTGATCGAATAGAGAGAGAGAGAGAGAGAGAGAGCCAAAGCTTTACAGGCCACTTGAATTTTGACTGTAAGCAAAGCGATGACCACGAACAACGATAGATACCGAAACACACTCACAATACGATGGAAATGCATGCACACACTAACACACAAACACCAAATAAAAGACTATAGACTCAATATAAAATGATAAACGCTAACCCAATAATACCAAAAACTTAATTGACGAGAGCCTAAACGATTGACCAAAAATACATAGTAATTTTGTAATTTTACAATAAAATTTATTCTCTCTTCGATTGTTTCAAAGCGTCGATTCATCTTCATTTTCTTTCATTCGTTCGCTGTGGCTCTGTCGTTGGCTGAACAGAAAGCAAGAACGAAAAAAACACCGAAGAACTCTTGCTTTCTGTGAGTCGTGTTGTTCTTCTCTTCTTTTCATTTACCTTGATCGCGTCGCGTATTGTTTTTAATGACGCGTCTGGTATTAAACGTGCGCTCGCGCGTTCATCAAAAACCGACAATGGAATTTATGCTAAACGCATAATACCATATTTTGATTTTGAGGTCGCGCGAATTCGTTGCATTTTTGGGCCTCAATCTTGTTCGGTGTGTCGTTTTCGTTTCAATTTTTCAAAAGGCAAAAATCCACTAGAATTGTACGTTTTTAGCATGTGTAAATATGACCCGAAGCATTTACGAATTAATAGCGTGTTATCCATAGATATTTTCGTTGTCTTGGTGTGCACGAACGAAAGACAAGAGAGAAAAAAAGGCATAGTTCGGGAATCAATATGCTCGCGCGGGGCAATTTTGCCGTGTGTGTTCGGTCATCGATGTTGGATCATTGGCTGTTGATATCTTTTATAATATTTTTTTTTATCCAATTTCATTTTCGATCAAGACAAAGGACGATAATTTTGCTAATCCAAATTGTGTGTGACGGCATTCGTTGAACCATATCCAACTGTCCGATGGCCAGGTGATATTTCGAATCCGATACCGCAAAATCAAATGCAAAAACGGCAAAAAAAATTATGAAAAATAAAAGAAATCGTAGAAATCGTACGTTGAATTGCCTTGAAAATCGATACAGTTATTTGTGATGTATCGAAATGACGTTCCTGGCGGCAATTTTTTTTTCTTTCAATTTTGTTTTGTCAAAATTGCCGGTTTTGATCGGGCTGGACATGCATACATTCTGGTGATTTATGCATAATCAACTTTTTAATTCGACGGAATTCTTGCGATTTGTTGCGGAATTCCTCCAATGTTTTCCTTTTGTCCGGCATTTCTTCGACATCGATCCATTTCGATTGGGCGAAAAGTAAAAGTGGTGTTTGTTTTTCAAAAGAATTTCAAACGAAGAACAATCGAAAGGACTCAACGAGTTTTATTTAAGAAACGTGAAACAATTTTTACGACTTTTTGCCTCTAGCTGATCAATCTTAACGAGGTACATTAATAGTGGCTAATTCAATAATGAAAATTGATTACGCCAAATGTCTGCACGCACATCCCCTTCGCAGTCAGTTTAGAACGAGTCTGTTCGTTTACATGTTGTGCTTGCCTACGAACGCAATGACACAATCCGATGGCAAATTGAATGGAAATGTAATAAAATACACGAAAACTTTTTTTTCCTGCTCGTATCATTGGGAGAGACGCGACTGACATATCTCGATGATCAGATACCACCTTTTGTATGTAACACACGGAGTGCACAGGAGAACACACCGAACACAGCAGAGAGAAAAAAAAATTTACTGTGGAAATTTACATGCGTGAGCATTTGTTATCGCATATGTTTTTCAAGAATATATGCAGAGAGAGAGAGAGAGAGCTAAATACAAAACACTTATTATCTTGTTGCAGTTTCGGCATTGCTCACACATCGGCTGTCGAACAAGCAAACAGCGCCGGAGCGAAATGCAGCAAGAACTAAACACACACACACGGGAGGTTAAAACCAGTATATAAAGTCCCAAAGTGCAAAGTACTCGTTGTAATGCAATGATAAATGCCAAACAATGTAAACGCAAATGCAAAACGAACAACAAACACAGAAACAAATGTGTAATTGAAGTCGTATTAAAAGAGTGTTTTGTGAAAATTGCGCGCTCTCTCTCTCTCTCTCTCTCTCTCTCTCTCTCTCTCTCTCTCTCTCATACAGCCAACGAATCCGTCCGAATTTGGTTAACAAACACACCGGAGAAATTCGTTCATTCAAAGAAGCGAGCAATGGTGCGGCGGCATTGCAGGCAACGGTGGCGACATTATCGAGCGCATTGTGCATGCACATTTTAATCATCATCGTGAAATGAAAAAAAAAAATACACAAAACACATTAATCGTATTTATATTTCTTCAATTGCTGGTTGTGCTGCGTCTGCTGCTGTTTTTTGCTGCTCATTTCTTCTCGATTCAAAGTGCAGGCGCGCGCAACCATTTCTCTCCAGCCCCGGAATCCCGTTCGTTCCGAGTCGTGTTCATGGATGTTTATTATTTTAATTGTTTTGATCCGAACGAGCAATGTGTGCGCGCGCCCGTGTGCATACTTTGCATTTTATTCCCGATATTTTATGTGTGCCTGTATCACAATGCCGAGTGCAGCGCATCGCACACGGAAAGACACAACGATGATATATATATATATTCATAAATTAAACACTTGATAAAAAGAAGTCAGGCTCAGTTTAGCGTTTTTAACACGGAGCCTACGGAAATGCAGAGAAAGACACAGCGAGCAAGCAAAAATGAACGGAACCAAAATGCATTCGAAACAAAGAATAACAAATAATATGTAATTATGAATGGCAGTTATAGAAATGCAACAAGGAACAAGAGATAAAGAAAAAAAAACTATAACATAAATGTTAAACTGTTTAAATAATTCATTTTTATTTGTTTCGTATGATAATTGTAGAGTAAAGTGAAGTGTTCTTCTTCATTTCGAATGCTAGTTGTTGTTGTTATTATTTTTTTTTCGGGCTTGAGAAACGTTGATTTCAACGAGCCAATTTCAGAAATACACTCGCACACTCACTTTTTGGTGGAAAAGCTGAGCGTTGGTAATTTTTCCATTTGTCGTTTCAATGCTTTGAACATAAGAATCAGTGCATTATCTTCTTTTATCTGGTTAGTGTATGCTGACTGACTTCTTTTCTCCCATTGCATTGCTGGGCCTGCCGAATTCCAAGCACAAAAAGACTGACAACGAAACCGCCGCATCACGAACCAACCGGCACATGCACTATTATTTATTTTCTCAATTCGCGCTATCTACGCTCTCTCTCTCTCTCTCTCTAAGCGGAGACTGGCTTAGTTTTTCTCTGGGTGTAGATAAGATTTCGTAATATTTGTGAGAATGTGTAATTTATTAGTTTACTTCCTCTCTCGTGTGCGCGAGTGCGCGCGCGCCCATTCGGTGCATCCCATTGCAAAGCTGCCGAACCGAAGAGGAAATCCACTCGTTTTGTTTTCTGTATTATTTACTTCTTCTCCAAATCGAAACCGAAAAAACAGCAACACAGTGGTTGAAGCTCGTACGTTACCGGTAATTCTTTTTTTTTCGCTGTATTTGTGTAACTGTTCGCCAGTAGGTTATTGTGTGTACATGGGCTTAACACGCGACCGAAACAACCAGCCACGGACACCAAAACAAAAAAAAAATTTGATAAAAAAACGTAGCAATCGTCGTTGTTAGCGATCGGTTTGCGATCAACACGCACGTTATTTAAATCAAAACAAATAATTATAACATAATTCGATTCGTGTACATCGGAAATTTATGGACACGTCCACCAAAACCAGCCGATTTTCCCAAAGTGTTTTATTATTTTAACACAATTTTTTTTCTTTGCTCTCTGTTCCACTGATACCATGGCTCATTTTCTGTGTGTGTTGATTTGAACCCGGCGAGCCGAGTTTTTTTTTTCTTCTTTTCTCTCCATCATGAGGTCTGGATCAAACGTATTATTTATTATTTATGAATGATTGTCATGCGAATGTGAGACGTCTTCACTCGATCAACGAGCTGAAACATACACACACGCATTCCAACGTTGATTTAAAATCAATGAACTTGTCGATGATGATGATGATGCATCGTGCCGTGGTCACGATTCTAATTTATTCGATTTTGTAATTGCTGTCGTTTTGAATTATACAAGCCCGAACAAATGAAGTGCTACGGAGACAGCATTTACACTACTTCTTTTCAAAATCGATTATTCCTTTTATGTGAAACGGTCAATTTGTGTGTGCTTTATCAGAAAATGCACTTAAAATTTGGTACACCCGATTGATCAAATGAAACATCGTAATTTTTAACTTTCCTTTTTAGTAAGAAGTTCAATTTTAAATAATCTTTCATGTATGGTAAACGTATATGTTCGTTGTTCAAACCTATTCGAAACTGATTAATTTCTCTTTTTGGATCAAAATATGGCTTGTGCCAAAAACTCCATTCAAATACAATGAAAATCGTTCAAACACTTCAAATTTTCTGCTTGAAGGGAAACAGAATGGCAATTCGATCCACTCAATGATGTTGATATACATGATGAATTCAATCATATTGTTACTGTATACTGATGCCGCATCTATTTGTACCAAATGTTCATAAATTTCGAGTTCAACTGAATACAAAATGGATCAATGTTCCATTCTCCATATGTTACAATGAGATCATACAATGAAATCTATTTCAAGTTGATATTTAGTTTAACATCAAGTCAATGTTTTGAGTCGCAATTCGCATTAATGTAAAAATAATGATTTCAATTGTGATAACTATTACGTTTTCTACTCGTATTTTTCATTGTAAAAAAAAGTCAAAGCAATGAATTTCTGTTGAACTGTCTACTGTGGAACTGTTTGTTTCATTAAATGAAACCGAGTGCAAAAAGCAAGAAAACGAGCCAAAACAAAAACCACTGTGCATTTTATTAAGTGGAATTTCGTACATTAAGTCAATAAAAGTGGGACTGGTGTTTTGTGTTTGCGGTTGGATCCATTGCGTTTGTCAACAATCGTTGTCCAAATTTGGTTTGAACGATTGTGGTTAAATAATGCGTATCCTTCTCTTTATTATAGTCGTTTTTTTTTCTTTTCTATGTAATTTGTCGAACCGCACACCAAATTACTTGTTACTTTGTATTTGTCTCATTCGTTCAAAGTTGCCATTTTTCTTCGAATCGAATTTACGTAATTTGGCGTGTCTATTTGTTTTTCTGTCCCCCCAGAAATTGGCATCGAGGCTCGTTAAATATTAAGCATTTGCCACAGCAACACAAAGAATTGTGACAATTGTTATTGAGCCGAATTGAAATGTGTGCGTATGCAATTTAGTTGTAGGGCGCCAACAAAAGTAAAATGGAAAATAAAAGGCTGTACGACAGGAGTGGGCTAATAATGAGCCATGGATTTTCCACGCATGTGTTTTGCTTTGAAGTTTTTTTTCTTTTTCCTCTCGTCAGTGCCTGCACACACATATCCATTTGCCATGGCTCAAAGTAAATAATGAAATGAATTTAAAAAAAACGGCACCGAATGAAAACTAACTAATAACTAATATGAAAAATAAATATGGCAGCATTATTAATAACAAAGAATATGAACGTGGAATATAAAAGGGTACGACGACATTCGGCCAAAAACCATGTAGTACAACAAACATTTGAAAATACGCGTTTAAAATTCACATACGCGCTCGCGTTCATAAACACGGCCGTTTTTGACTGATGGATTCTACACAGCAGATAGAGAGAGAGAGAAAAAGAAATGTTTGTGTGTGTTGTTAGTAGCTTGTGGGGAAAATGATTATTTCTTGTAAGCGACCGAGGCAGATGTACGCATATTCCCTCTGTCCTTCTCTTTCTGTCCCTATCTCTTCGTTTTCGGCAGAACCGACGTCAATATTGCGGCCCAGTGCCGCATGCTACCTCGCCTCGTATGCAATCGACACGTTCACGGGCCGAACAATTGAAAAACACACGAATTATAATGCACTTATGGCAAGCCAACAAAACCGTAGAGAGTGAGTGTGAGAGAGAGAGCGTTCTCTTGTCAAAATTCAATGTTATACATCGTCGACACACTCACAAACAAATACAATTGCAAAATTGAATTTAATTTTTGTTTCTGTTGCTTTCTGCTTGTATTTATTTTCTATGTGTATTGTTTAGTTGTCTCTGTCTGCGCCACGATTTCGATGAGTGGTTCTCTATTTTGCGTTCTTGCTCGAGCCCCGAGAATTATTGCGTGTAATATTCGACCTAATAATAACATATCTAACAAACATTTTTCCAGTACATTGTTATTAAATGTGCATTATCTTTATGTGATGTCTGTCTGTCTCTCGCTCGGTCTCGGTGTGCAACGAGCACATTTGCACAACTGATGCCAATATGGAGTGGCTTTGGTTCTTCTGCTTTTTTTTTTCTCATTTCGACTGGCTTACGCACACATTTCATTCGTTTTCTTTTCACATTCAAATGTTGCCATATATTCTCATTTTTTTTTGCTCTTCTCTGATCCCGGCTGTTATTATAACATATTTTTTTCCATCATCCGGAGATGATTTCTCCGCAGGCTAAGCTTACCAAATCTGTTTTTGTTTGGTTTTCTATTGTTACGATTGCAACTTATTCTTTTGATTGATTCAACCGTTTGATTGAATCAAAATAGAAAAAAAAACTGTTTTGAAAAAAGAAAAAAAAACGGGCAAATTTCATTTTTGATAATTTAAGCGCGACATCACAACAATCACAAAAGACTACCGTAACCCAAGACGGAACAAAATCTAACGGAATAATGGGTAAGAAATGTCTGATTGGAATTTTTGTGGTCGTTCAGAGAAAATGCCGACAAACGCGTACCGATCCAATTCATTTACCCATTTTATTGATGTGATGTCTGTCGCTTTGAAGAACTACCGAAATCATTGTACTACAAGAACAAGCTCATTGCTATGCATCGTTAAGCAAAACCAAGAACAGAAAATAAGAAAGATAGAAACAGAATCAGCCACTAAATCAATTCACACCGATCCGAATCGATTGATTGTTTAATGACAAATTCATTTATCCGAAATGACACGCACTCATGTCTTTATAATTAAAAATAAGTCATTCCCTCATTTTGTGTTCATTTAATTAAGCATTTGAGGATCGCAATCAATTTTATCGAGGCTTTATATTATTTTTTATCTCTCTTCGGTTCGATTTCCTGCTCGTGGCAAAGAGCGCACCGTCGAATGAATCAAAATTGAAATGGAATCGGAGTCATGTTTAATCGAGCAGAAAGCAAATACCGCGCTCGCGATGCGACCGAAAGCGCGCGCGTGTATGTTGTATTATTCGCGTAGTTACGTGTGGTTTGTTGATTTATGTTTATGCGGCGGCTGATTAAGGAACTGAACAGAAAGAAGGAGAAAAAAAGCAGCACCAACAACAACAAGAATCGAGACAAAACACGAAAACGCATTGCACAAAGAGATTGAAAACGTAATCTTTTGGTGCGATGCTGCTGCTGCTGCTTCCTACTAAGGCATTTCATTTGCATTGCCATCACACATCGGAGATCGTATTGCAACGGCACAACAAAACAGAGCACAAGTCCAATGTAAAACTTGTGATGCTCGCCCATGCACAGCCACAGCCACAGCCACATAGTTTCAGTAGTAATCTCAGCTACAGATATTTTCAATCTCAATATGCTATCAATTGTATGATATAAAAGAGTCTTCTCTTTTACATTCTATTCACAAGCATACGCTGAATGGGGTTTCGGTTCTTTTGGTCGGACGGTTGGTCGCTTGGTCGATACGTACGTACGGACGCAACGTACATCGACAATGACGAGCCAAACGTTTATCCCCAAACAAAAAACTCCAACTAAAAGTACATAAACACATTATACACTCTACCTGATGAATTGTACTTCTACACATTCGATACCGATTACATGCTTAAATGCGACTTTACTGCATATTGGCAAACAAGCGATACTTTTCCTTCTCTCTCTCTCTCTCTCTCTAGCTCTCTATCCTTCGCTTACTGTCAGCCAACCAACTAAATTGCGACGAGATACGTGTTCAACATGCGCTTTTGATTCGTTAACGCGTTTCGTTTTAGATAACATTTTGTTGTTATTTGCAAGCCTTTTATTTTTTCATTATTTTTGCTGCTTTCGCTCACTCATTTCGAGTGGCAAACTATTATCTATCTCTTTGGCAGTTTCGATGTTCAGCCGTGTGTTGTTGTTGTTTTCTCTCTCTCTCTCCCTCCCGCTCGTGCATTATGCGTTTCATTACGTTATCGTATCAATTTTTAAGTGATTCCACTTAAGCGATAGACTGCAATATGTTGCGATGATAGTGATGTGAAATAAGCAAAATTCGATTAACACGATGCGTTTTTTATTCGTTCTCTCTTGTTCATTTGCAGATATTTCGAGGTTGGAAAAATCACCACTCTTGGCTAACGGCTATAATCCGCCGCCAACACATTTGAATCACATGCAATTCATGCAAATGAATCATCATCCCGGTGCCATGATGAGTCCTGGTCTACCGCCACATGGATTACCACGCCACGACAGCCAACTCATGAAAGGACAACCCAATCTACCCAATATGGACGCCATAGCCAGGTAAAATGAATCACTTGAATCACTATCAAGATAACACCTTGCAGATAACAAACAAAAATTGACGGAAAAAAATTAAACTCATTGGCTAATAAATAATCATTTCATTACAAGGTCTGGCATATGGGAAAATTGTAGAGCCGCTTACGAAGATATTGTTAAGCACTTAGAACGGTAAGTTGCAACTTTTTCCCACATTCTTATTAGATAGTTTGTGTTTCTTGTTGGATTGAATGTAATTCTGATTGAACAGTTTTTTTTTTCAATTTTCATTGCAATTCTCGATTGTAGATATTAATTTCACGAATGTTATTTAAAAAAAAAAAAGAACGCAATAAAACGCAAAAAGAATCGTCCAGCTAATTTAATTTTCCTATCATATTTTTCAATTTCGCACACAGATTGCGAGAGGAAAGAGTCGACGATCGAAACCAAATCAGCGAACAAAAATCAAGAGAACACACATCACACAACGGTAAGCTATTTTCTTGGCTATTTTCGATACTTTTTAATCATTCAAACGACTATGACGAAACAAAATCAATAGTTTTACTTCAAAAATTGTAACGTTTCAAATGAAATGCTAAAATGACATAAAAAACTGAAATTCCTGCTTAAAAAAAAGTGACTAATTTCCCAAAAATCCTTCAAAATCCAACACAAAAAGGTTCATCAAATGGTCACAGCCCGGTGTTGAACCTATCGAAATCTGGTGGTCTTGATCAAGGCAGCACCGGTGATCAGAGTGATCGCAGTGAGAATCAGTCACCGGCACCATCTATTCGTGACGAAGATGAGAATCTAAGTGAAGACAATATATCCGATGTTGATGAGCGTGAAGCGAAGGACGAAGGTAAGTCATATCAAATGTCAGCTTAAAATCTGCAAAACATTTCCTATCTCCAGAACTAAACATGTTTCAGCAGAAGTTTCTAATGGCTCCAAAACTGTGGTATCTTATTTTTTCTTTTTTTTCTTTCACCACTTAATACACCCAACAACAAAATCATCTGTAGATTTGAGTGATAATGAACGTGATAACGTAGCGCAAGCCCCATCGTCACAAGTTCCAAATTCTGATTCGCGCCAACAGGCAATAAATTACACATCGTTAGCGGCTACCGCGGCAGCCGTGGCAGCCAGTGGTGGTGTGAAGAGCAATGTTTCGGAACAAGAACAACAACAGAGTTTATCATCGACCGAGACGCTATTACGAAACATCCAAAGTTTATTGACTGTCGCCGCTGACAATGCCAGACAACAGGAACGTCAAATCAGCTATGAAAAAGGTAAGCGCGATGAAAAGAGCCGTGCGCTTTTTTCTATCGAAAAGAGCACAAGTAAGCAAGCGAATAAAAAAGTGCAACTCATTAAACTAAACGTTGGGTTGGCGAAGTATAGTTTCTCCCCTCTTTTGCCGTTACCTCAAACACTGTTGGCCGAATTTATCGATTTGTATTAATTATTTGCGCGGGGCTGTGGCGTCGTCAAACAATCGGCAATCAAAAATCAATTTCTATTACAGCCACTTAACGAAAGGTGTCTATTAAATAATTTAAAATTAACTTGTTCATAGTAAAAACACACAGCAGCAGTGAAAAGAAAGAAAAAGCCGTCGGCACTTTGTTGACAGCGTGTCATGGGGGGAAAATCATGCACTAATTAAACATATCAAACTATTTTCAGTTCGGGTGAATACAACTCTAATTAACTTAATTTTTTTGGTTTTCTTTTCTCGTTTTTTTTTTCATTCATTTTTCATTAGCTGAGCTGAAAATGGACGTTCTACGGGAGCGTGAGTGCAAAGACACATTGGAACGACAACTATCCGATGAACGAAAACTTCGAGGTAAGTCCAGAATTTAAAATGTTAACACATTTTGCCCCCCTCAGTATGAAGATAGAATGGGAAAAAAATGTCAATTTATTTTAAAAAGTTGAATGTCAAAAATGATTACCCAAAATTTCGGATTCCGTTTAAATTGATATAATTCATTGCCATTTTTGTGGTTTCTCCGAAATTCAATCCACCTTTTTTTTCCACAATCTGTCTCGCTCTTGCGCCCGCACCATGCGACACTATTTCGGTTCATTGTTTTTGTGCATCCGAATTCAAATAATAAAAAAAAACGAGCGAAAAAAATGGCAAACAAAATGTTTCATGCCTTGAAAATGCAGCCATAAGTGAATATAAAAAAAAAACAAAGCGGCAAGTGCTTATCCAAGCAAAAACATAGCGTGCGGCCGCAATCGACACAAACGCCGAAAAAGAAACAAACAAGAAAAAGAAAAATGAAGTAGCGACCTGTCTCTTTAGAATCGGTTGTAAACCGATCACAAAGTAAACAAATTGTGACTGCACCTCTCTTCTCTTCCAATACGTATGCGAAACAAAAGAAACAACAATCTGTCCTGGCTCGTCCAATCCTTTTTGTTCCTTATTCTCTCTGAAAATCACATTTTTGCGCGATTTAATATCTGTCATTGGATTTATTGAAGTGAGAAGGAAGCTTGAGTCAATGACTATAAAATCAGACGAATGCAAATTAGATTGTCTCTTTTGGCTTTCTGCTGCACACGTTTTTGGGAGGAGTCTATTGCCAAATGAGATTGGATTTCAATATATATTTTTTCGAACACTCGATGTGTGTGCGTTCAGTCAAAAACAACATATGGCAAATGAGACCATTCGCAACCGAACTTACAAATTTCAGAAAAAATGAGAGCAGAAAAAAATGCGCTGTGCATTCGGTTTGGCTACGGATTAAACAGAAGAAGAAAAAAAAACAGCCAATCGACCATTGTGTGATATTAAATTTCGTTACGTTAAATGTGCACCAGGTAAGACACACGGTCATGTTCAATAAGCACACGTATACAGGATGTCAAGTGGATTGCGTATTGCGGTTGACTTTTCGGCGCCAATGTCTCAATATTATATACCAAATTAATATTTTTATTTTGCATTGCCGCTTCTCCGTTTTCTTACATTTGTTGGCCTTTTGCATTGAATGAGCGTGCGCGCGCTCGCCCGTCTGATCCACCACGGTTGTTGTCTTTTCCTGCGCCGTCGATTTCAATTAATCGCTTTTCTATTCGATTTTGGTCGTTTCCTCTTTCATTTCTTCATCACTTTTCATTCTCCTAATGACAGAAAAAAACCGTACGAAAAAAAAGTTCTTTCTGTGAATCAAAATACCCAATTTCCTGGCACTTTTTGGTCGCTTTTGTATTAAGTTTTATACCATTTCAACAAACGCTCCATACTACTTTCACATTCTGACGAAACAATTATTGCAGACACATTTTGACATTTTTTCATTCGAATGAAGACATTAAATATATTTTCGCCGAATTTTTAAATCAGATCCTTTTGGGACGAAAAGGCTTCGATTTTACATTTATTAACAATCGAATGCATTCATTTCAATTCAACGAATCTTTCATTTGAAGCAAGTTCTTAAGTTCATGCTGTGAAACATTTTAACCAAATGTCACTCGATTTCAACAATTTCTCGTTTTTTCCCCGCAGTGTTGTTTCAAAAACGCTTCAAAAAGGAACGAAAGATACGTGTTCGTATTCAACAAAAATTGGATGCCGAAACCAAACGCCGAAATCAAATCGAAGATGCACTCAAAGCTTCTGGCGCTCCAGCTGAAGCATTGCGCTTATTATCTGGTAAGTAAACCCTTTTTCAACCAATTTTTTTTCTCGCAAATTAAGTTAGATTTTATTTGCTGCACTTTGCTTACTCAATTGGGGTGGATAGATGTCTCTTTTACTTGAGCAAAACTTTGGTTTTTGATTAAATTGATTTTTTTAACATACGTCGACTCGTTGGTAATGACCGAAAATTTTGTTCAATTTTTTGCCCAAAAATCATGTAGAGTCGTCGGGTGATCGAAAAGAAAAGCCGTCGTCGGCCGATCGCCGCACAGAGAGTCCTTACACAAACAACCGTGAGTCTTTATCATCTCAACAACCACTTACTGATTTACAAACTGAAAAGTTGCGCATTTTCGACTGATTTGATTTTGATATACATGAAAATATCAGTCGAATTTGAAATCATTGGCCAATTTTAAAAGTTACAACGGCCAACGAGATACGATTACGCTACTTTTCAGTTTTTGCCCAATATCGATGGTAAAGGGTTTTTTAGGCGTTGCGATGATAATAGATTCATTTTAGTAACATATCAACAATTGAAATTGTTTTTCAACAAGACCACAAGCGCTTTACTTTTTCGCTTCAAATGCATTAACCAAGCGAATTGCACTTAAATAACCCTTTTAACCACTACATAGCCGCTTTTTAGACTAAAGTTCACTCTTGAATTCGACTTTGAATAATTTTTTGAATAAATAATGAAATAAATTAATTTTTGAATAGTAAAATAATTACAATTGAACTAATTCGACTTTCTTTTCTCTTTTCTCGTTGAAATGTCAACATTTTTCTCACCGTAGAATCGCTACACGAGATCGAAATGGAACGAAAAACGCGTCAACAGACCGGTGATCGTGATGTGAAAAGTCCGTTGCAGGAGAGGCCAAACTACTACAAAAACTCAGTTCTATTCAGCAGTGCGACTTAGTTGAATGGCCCATCGTACAGTGACTAAGACACGTGAATTACCATTTGAAATAAAGTGAAAATGATAAAGAAAAAAGTGGAAGTTAATAAAAAAATAAATATGTGCAATGACTTAGTTTGTATCGTTGGCGAAAAACAGTGAAAATCATAAAATATTGACGGAGTGAATGTGTAAACACAGATAAAGATGTCGAAGACGCAAGGAGCGTCTGCCGTGTGTTTCGGTAATATTTGCTAAAAACAAGTGCTAATGTGCTCATCAACACTCTTTCAACTTCAAATAAAAAAAGATCCAGATCTCAAGTTTTCCCACACACACACACAAACTCACTCACGATTACATAATCTCTTAAAACTAGATTATTAAGAGAGGAGAGTAAAAAGAAAATTGTCTTGGAAGGTTAATTTGTACGAGGTTCATTTACATTTTCACATAATACTAATCAAAAACGAACCAGTTGAACTAGTGGTAAACTGACGGAGAAAAAACAAATGAGAACGGTGAATAAAGTTTCTGTTGATCATATCGATGGAATTTATTCGAATGTCGCGCGCGATTCAGTTAATAAAACGAACAGGGCGCGAACATAAGAGAAAATATAATAAAACAAGTAAGACTATCTTAATACACACACACACACACACACACAAATGATTTAAAGCATTACGCATCAAGAGTAATTTACTAATTACAATTTTAAAGTTAGAAGATTTTAACGGAGAATCCACTCACACAAAAATACAATACAGAGAGAAATAAGAGAGAAGAATAAGATGAAGCAAAAATGCATACGCCCACTTTAACATAACCAATTTATAAATTCCTACTTCTTTGCCATAAATTATTTGTATTAACTAAACTTAGGTGAATTAAATTAAACATAAAACATAACAATAATATAAATCCACACACACACAAACTATCATCATACGATTTTAGAAATATATGGGATGAAGAGAAGAAATTCATCGGAACACTCGACGAACGAATTGCAAATCTAACTGAATTTAAAAGTGAAACACACACAGAAGCAAAAAAAAAGAGAACCTTAACAAGAAAGTTATTAAATTGAAGTAAGGTGCGCGCGAGAGAGAGAGAGGAGATAAGAATTGGCTCTCATAGAGACGAGCCGACTTCTGAACAGAAAGAGAAAAAAAAACAAATCAGTAGAAATTGTACTAATCAATTAAAAAATTAATAATCTAAATAATTAAGCTAACCATTAGCTATAATAAACAAACAGAATTAATTATAGTACCGCAGTATGGAGAGGTGGCCACCCAAAATAAAAAAAATATCACCATTTTCATTCCGTTTTTCCGTTTCTCTCGGTTCACGCTTATCGGCTGCGTGTGTAACAACGCTTTTCTTTCCTGTTTCGTCGACAAAAAAGTTCTGTAGTGTTAAATTAAATTACATTTTAATGATTAACTTTCCGTGTTTCAATATGCAGTTGTGTGATCGCTGTTTTTCCTTTCGACACAATGAAGATGAAAATAGTGAGAAAAAAAAACCATACGATATTCAGCACTGTGTGCTGTTTTTATTCGGATTCAGTTTGTATTTATTTGCAAAGAAAGCAAAGCTACATCAACCAAATTACTATCTCGTTCTCATTGAAGCATGGAAAACATGCCAAGACAAAATGTGGATAAAAGAAAAGGACAGCGCGTTACAATGTGTGAACTTGAAGTCTGTCTTCGACCAATTCACACGCATTGCAACATCTCAGTTGTAAATGTTTTTTTGATTTTGTTGTTATTGTTCAAATAATTTGGCGCTTTGATTGGTGTGTGAGCGAGCGTGTGTGTGCTCGTACCAAATGATATGCAATTTCGGACGGGCCGAATACACAACTTTAGCAAGTGTTTTTTTTAAATGAAACTAGATGAAAAATTTACATTGAGTACATGTTTATGAAACGATAGAGTGCGTTGCATGAAAAAAAAAATTGTGTTATGGGCATATGTACTTCATTTTACACTAGAATTTAGTAGATAAACTAGTAGAGAGAGAATGAGAGGAAACAGAGTCGGAAGTGGCTCGTCATGTGATGACAATTAAATTGTCAATCGATAATAGCGAAAAACTGCCGTAGCCACACACACACACACAGCGCACACAATTTTATTGTCATTCTCATCATGTTTAACTAGAGAGAACGATTCTGCAACATTGTAAACAAAAACAAATACCAAATCGCAAACAATGTGAGGAGAAGAATCGATGTAATTTTCACAAACGAAAAATGAAGCGCGTCGTGTACATTGCAATAAGCATGACGCAAGCATAAACAAGATTGAAAATTATAACTAAATGATAATTAAAAAAAAACAATATTCTTCTCTCTCTTCATTTACCTCTCGACTCTCCCTTCTCCTTCTCTTCTATAACTTATATAGAACATATTACAACAACAAAATGCACAAGAAGCAACAAAAAAAAATTCAACATTAATCGTAAAACTAACAAACAAAAAAAAAACACTAAATGAATATGAACTCTAACTAAATATAAAGGTATATGTAATTTTAAATGTACGACTATACAAAGATTTACATTATTATTATCATAATGAAATTTAACTAAATGAATTCAACTACACAGACTAACTCAAAAATAACTTTAAATAAAAAAAAGTTGAAGTTATAAACGATAGTATGTATCGTGATTTCGTGAATGAATGTGCATTTTATCATTATTTTTTCCCCGAAAAAAGAAAGAAACACAAAGAAGATGCAGATTAATAAATACATTGCATTCAAAATGAGAAGATGAAAACTGACACATTGTAAATAAAGTGCGAAAAAAGAGCAACCCATTCAAATGAACATGTTTGACGTGAAAAATGTGCGTTTTTTGTTCGTTGTTTTTTTTTTCTTCTTTACTTTAAACAACTCTATCTCTCTCGATGTCGGTGTAAGCTGTTCTACAATGTAGAATCTACATACAGCATACACACACACATCTACTTATATTCAGGCCGAATTAATGAGAGAGACAACACCCACGCAAATCGTTCTTTTTTTAGAGAAATAAATAATATGATCTTCATGGAAATAACATGCAATAAAACACACTTGAAACCCCATTTTATGTATTTATGAACAAATTATCATCTCTTTTTTTCCACAAACACACGAATATATCGAACATTTTGCTGTTGCTGCTTATATACATTCAACCACATGCTATTTTTTTTCCTGTGTTTGTTTTTCTCTCAGAATTTTCTGTTTCTTTCGTTTCTCCGTTTTCGCAATCATGACAACAATTTTCATTTTAGATTATAATTATTTTACCCATTTTTAAATGCTGTAAATACGAAACTCTAAGAAAAAAATAAATATTCTTTATTTTATATCCGAAACAAGTAAAAAAAAAGTATGAATAAATACTAAAATATATACAAGAGAATGAAATAAAACATAAAGAACAAACAAAAAAATGAAGAAGAAATCAAAGGAATAAACTAAAACCAGAGATTGTCAAGCATTGTATAAATGTGTAAGTGAGAATGTTCAATTTTAATCTATTAGATTTATTATTATGTATAAAATTGAAGTACACACATTCAAAGAAAAACTGAAAAAGGAATACAAGTAAAAAAACTGGAATAAAAACCTAAATCGCATATACAAACTCAATTGCCTTTTTATTTGATTGGGTGGAATTTTTTATTCTTCCGCAAAATTTCGCAGCATTTATCATACAAAAGTAGCAAAATTCATATGAAATGTGCACATTGTGTCGTTTTGTTTTCTGAAATTCACATCGAAACGATAAGGTATGTATGCAATGTGTAAGTAAAATACGAAGAACAACAAAATAAACTTTACTAAACTCAAAACGAGTTTCCAAAAGAAAAAAAAAACTCAATGGTGCACCATATTCATCATCATTATTGTAATAAAAAATAATGATTTATAAACGACAAATAATCGAAACTGCCCCGAAAATTATAGTTCATTGCTCTGTAACAATATATTGCTTTGTAATAGCAGTAGCGAAAACCATCAGTCAAGGAAACATTTAAACGAATTTAATTTCATCAAATTAAAAGAGTCCGAAAAAAACGAGCAATAAGATGGGTTGAAATACAAGTTTTTCTTATCAAGTCTTTGGGTCTTATTCCCAATTGAAACACATTTTCATGGTTGAAAACGAACAATTCTCGCTACTTAATTGAAACATGAACTTGCATTATCCTGTTTGTATTTTTCCCATCGACCGGTTCTCAAGTGCCCTATAATACATATTCAGTCCTTTCCACATCCTTTTGACCATTGTTTTCTAGGTTGTACGAAGTTTTTTTTTCCCGTGTGTGTTCATGAAACTTCGTATGTGATGTAAAAAGTTGGTCTTTAAACACATATACACAAAACATTCAAAACTCTGTAATTATTGATTTCCAATTCCAAACTGTAAACATTGTGTAAACTTTTGTGGCTTTTAATTTAGCACAAATTCACTCAATATAGGTTAAGTAGGCGTTCGACCGCAAACACTTGCTTTAATTTCCATGGAAATAAACGAATATATTTAGTATTTTTTGGGTGTTTCTCACATATTGCTCTCGTTTCACAGCCAAAAATAGTTGATACATTCATATTTTGAAAGCAATTTTTGCGCGTCAGTTTTGACATTTGACACACGATCGAAGAAAATCGATTAAAACGCAAATTAAATGCTCATGAACATGTTAAATTCGTTTTATTATTTCTCTTTTTGGTTTCAGGAACTTTTTTTTGTTGGAAGAATATACTTTTTCATTCATTGCATCGTGCGCTTCGAGTTTACCAACCGCAAATAGTTAATGATGTCTAGTAGCTAGTATAGACTAGCGCACTGGGTCTATGGTTATAGCTGTCTATAGACAGTGTGTAGGCCAGTTATTGAAAGATTTATGGTTTAATATGTAAAGAATTCCTTACAAAATTTGAATTGCTCACCAGCAATTCAAAAACTGTTTTTTGTTTGCTCTTCCAAAAAATCCCATTTCAGTTAACTTCAAATTGCGTTGATCCTTTTCTAAAGTACTCCTCAAAATGGGCACCGAAAAAGTCGAATTTAGAGGAGTGGGTGGCCATTATTTAAGCATAATTTCAATTCCCAAGAATATCAATTTGCGCTGACACCAAAATCACTCTCTCATACGTTATTTCAAAATGCACGCAACGTGTCTCTATCGGAACAAGAATGTAGGGGACATATATATCTTTTGTATTCCGTTGAGCATTTTGAGCTTGATACGTTCGGGGTATTGGTGTCGATTTAACGACAAGAATGGTGAAAACAATGAGTGAACCACTTGGCGTTGTTTGTTGGTTTGGATCTTTTCATTTTGATCAATTGCCATAAAATCGAAGATTGATTATGAAGATATGCCGCATGGGAATTCAACTACCAAATATACTGTTTTCCCTTTTTTCAGTGATTTCGAGGTGGCTAGAGCGGCATAGAGACCATTAATGCAAGTAACACTCATATATTGTTATCAATAGTGAATACTGAATGGAATCGAAAGTACAGACTGGTTCATAACTGGAGGTAATTTAGTGGAGGCAACGGAAAGAATAAAAAAAATATATCTACACGGCATCGATACGGCACGATTCGGTTGGTTCGAGAGAGAGAGAGAGAGAGAGAGAGAAAGCTAAATGGTTCGATGAAAGCTATCAATATTCCAAACAATGAACAGATAGCAAAAGATGAAAATCTGAAGAAATAGTGAACAATAAAAAAAATGTATATAAAGAGAGATGAACGAACACGGCTCCATCATTTCAAAAAGCCATTTATATCACTGTCGAGGATATGGTATTTCAACACGCTCTCGGGCTGAGATTTTAAGCACGGATCCGTTCGTGATATTATGAAACACACGAGAAAAAAAGATATCGAGACTCAGCAGAAAAAAATGCATCAAAATTTAATAGGCAAACAAACATAATAATTTCGCTTTTTTTTATTTATTTATTTTCTATTTTTATTCGTCCCATTGGGATCTTATCAAAATGGCAGATTGGAATTCCAATCTTTTGCGCAAGAGTTATTTCGAAATGAGAGATTGAGAGAAATGAAAGAACTCATAAGAAGAATAAAAGAACATAAAAATGGCGAAGTGGAATTGAAACGAACCAAACGGCCTGCCAACGAACATAAAACAACGAAATACACTCACAAAATATTATAACATTTTCTCTGGTGCTTTTTTCTTCTTTTCATTTCAATAACAAAACATAATGACGAGAGCGAGAGGATATTCACCTCATTGCAAACGAACCAGAAGCAATTTTCTTCTTCGTATTTTTTTCCTATTGTGCAGAAAAAGCAACGCCCTTAAGCCTTTGACGATAAGTTCTGGGTGCGAAAATGAAAATGTTTTTCAATGAAAACCGAAGCGAAATAATTTTCCAACAAAGCAAACATCCGAGTTGAGGCGATGAAAAGCTCGCTTCGGCTGAGTGTGTGATTGCTGCAGCTGCTGCTGCTTTGGCATTCTGGTCGGTCGGTTGGTCTGTGGAGCGGGCGTTTGCTGGGGGTGTGCGAGGCACATTGTATTTAATGAAAACTCACATATATACAGCAGTAGTAAATGCAGCCAGTCGCACGATTTTAAAAGCATCATTTCATTCGACATGGAAAACGATTTCGCTTTGCTATGCTCCTCCTGCGCACACCGAAACAAACATACATCGAAATGCGAATCAAACTGGAAAAACTGACGATAAAACACTTGACGACGAGGGCGACGATGTGGTGTTCGATATGCAGCTCGAAAGCTTCTCCCGCTCTGGCTTAATATGCAACGGTTTGGGAAAGGAAGCCTTTTTTTCAATTCATCGGAAAAAAAAATATGTTGGGGATGTTACAATCTCCAAGAGAGAATGGGGTGAGAAAAATAGATGGAAAAAGCACAACTGTTTGGCGATAAAATGCTTCTAATTAAAGTAAATTACAGCTGCATACAATGCGCTCTCATTTTGATGTCTCTGTTTTTTGCTAATCTTGGCAGAATTTTTTTCCGCTCGTCTCAACGCTTGAAATCAATAACGTAGAGGGAAATTCTTGAAACGAGCAGAAAAAACAACGACCGAGAGAATAAAACAAAAAGTGCTTACACTGACGATAAACTCGAAACGACATGCGCCAAATGGCAACCAGACAAATTGAAATTAACAATAATTTTCAGCAAATAAGTTTAAATATTCTCTTTGATCTCGAACTTTTGCATACTTTCTCTCTGTCTCTCTCTCTCTCTCCCTCTCTCGCCGTTGTTGTAAATAACACGCATGGCATCTACGAGACTTGAACCGAAATAAATAAAAACGTTCGTTGGATTATTTTTATTTCTTCTGCCAAACCAGGGAGATATTTCCTAAGTTTCTAGCGGAGAAGGAAAAAAGAACCGTTGGATAAGCAGATTAAACTTTGCAGATTGACTGAACTTAATGCAAATATTGTTCGAAAACTATCTTCAATCAGAATTTCAATTGGCTTTATTTGGTTTCAACGAAAGCAAAAGTTTTCCATCGCATAGTTCACCGTTTGTCGATGCTTGCAACAGCGAAAAGTTTATCCAGGTTATGTGCCGCTTTAAATGCTTTGCATGCATATTTTTGCAACTCGCACATTCTCACAAATAAATTATGCAGCTTTGAAA